TATATATAACTTTGAATAAAGCTCCTAGCCTTTCTTCTAAGACAACAGTAAATTTATCCTGAATAGTGTATCGCTCTCTTGCTATAGCTATAGTTTCATCCCAAGTTTGTTTTTCTTCTTGTCTGATTACTTCCTCCAAGAATATCCTCCAACTGGGTCTTCAAATGAATATTTTTATTATATCCTTACATTTCATAGTAGAAGATTATATGTATAATAGAAAATAATGCATTCAAAATTATCATTATTATGCATAAATATATTTTATATGTAAGATATATATGGGGGCTGGGGATGTGGCTCAAGCAGCAGTGCCATGTGCGGGGCACTGGGTTTGATCCTCAGCACCACATAAAAATAAAATAAAGATGTTGTGTCCACAGAAAATTAAAAAATAAATATTTAAAAAATTCTCTCTCTCTCTTAAAAAAAAGATATGTGTGTGTGTGTGTAGATAGATAGATAGATAGATAGATAGATAGAGTGTGCCCTTTCCATATGATACTGATTTCTTTCTTTCAACTTCGGAATTTATCTCCAGTATATCTTCAATTATTTTCTCCTCTTCACTTTCTTATCACTCCTTTTCTGTTCTATATCTATCCTGGATACATTGGAAAATTTTTAAATGAGCTACCTTATTCAAACTCTGAAGAGTTGTTGAAACTGTTCTTCCAATTACTAATTCATCTTCAGTTGCATCTATTCTACTATTTGTTCCACATTATTAATAAATAGAAGCAAAAAACAGTCATTCTAATCATTATATTCTTCATGCCTAATATCTGTTTGGTTTAGTTTCCTGGTATTTTTTCCTGCCTCATATTGCTATTATCATATGTCATCTCCTTAAAGATATTTATTGTGTATTTACAACTCTGGGTCCATTTGTTCAGTTTCTGATAGATTAATGTTATTCATCTGTGACATTTTAATAGTGGTAATCCTTGTCTACTTGTTTGTCCTGTGAATTTGTGTCCCCCTGGATGTTCAGCTATCTCTGTCTGATAAATATGCATCCAGGAACACCCATTGAGTTTGGAGGTAGAGGTGGCAATGAGCACAGAAAAAAGTTTCTGGATCTGCGGTTGGATTTCTTTTCTTTTCTTTTAACTTAGGTTTATTTATCTATTTTAACTCTGCTCCTTAATTTTTTAAAAAAAAGCTTGTATTAGAATATTCCAAATAACTGAGGGTGTGCTAAATTTTGTAAATTCAGTCTCATACCTAGTGATCCTCAGCTTGTATTAATAAGGAAAGTAAAACACAAATGAAATCATTGTTCTTGTATTATGCAGAAATATATACATTTTTCTTCACCTTCCCATGCAAATAACTTGAATAAACATTATGATAGATACACAGACAAGGAATTATATATTTCACCAAATCATTTTTGCATTTATTACTATAATCACTGACAATTTAGGGAATATCAGTTTAAATATTTGCAAATACTCAGATGTTTAGTATCTCTATGCTTTTTAATTTTTTTTCCATTCAGTTTGGCATTGTATAGATATTGTACAAGTCACATTTATATATTAATATTAATCAATATAACCCTTTTTCCTTACCATAGCAATACTGAATACATTTTCAGTTTATAATGTTTAATTAAATAGTTAAACTTATACCAGTTAGAAGACATGAATGGTATAATATACTTTGTATACAACCAGAAATATGAAAAAAATGTGCTCTATATGTGTAATATGAATTGTAATGCATTCTGCTGTCATATGTAACAAATTAGAATAAAAAATAAAATTAAAAAAAATAATAATACAAATAGCCGAAGAAAGCAAAATGACCTGAGGACTGCAGTCAGCACCTTTATATGCAAAGTAATTAGTTGATTTAGGAATGGGAAGAACTCAAGGCTCAATGAGTATTTAATTATGAGAAAAACAAGGGTCATATTGGTAAAAAGACCTGGCCTTGGAAAGCTACTGAAACCACCATTTATCTAAATTATAACTTTATTCAAGTATGCAGAAAATAAATTTTAGCATTTTATATGCCTCACCTCTGTTCCATTTCTGGCTGAATACCAGAGCTATAGACAAATGAGCAAACTAGGTTTGAATGATCTACTAAGAAACTTTTGGTCTCTGTAGATTTGACATTGGTTGAACCCATTTATGACAAACCAAGACAAATATCTCTGATACAAATATATTTCAATGTGAAAAGCATACATCTTAAGAACTACAATTTACCTTTCAAGAATATATATTTACAACCCAGTAAAAATGGACACAAATTAAATAAATATATTACTACAAGAATGTTTTAATAATAGCTATCTTTAAATCTAATCTAGCTCAACTGGCAAGTTTTGAAAGAAGCACAATATAGTAAGTCTCATATAATGAAAATGAAATTTGGACTGTGATTTTATTTTAAGGAAAAAACTTCATTTCCAAGAAATGCAGTTAGGTTTCTGATGCAGCTTAGTGGCAGGCCACATGCTTAAAGTGTGGCAGGCCCTAGGTTCAATCCCCAGTGCTCGCTCGCATTCCCTCTCTCTCTCTCTCTCTCTCTCTCTCACACACACACACACACACACACACACACACACACACACAGAAAGTAAACAATAATCTAGCAGCCCTGAGGGCTTGGAGGAAGGATACAAGTGTTGAGTGGAGAAAGGGGGACAGGGAGAGGCGATCATCTACAGTTGTTTTTATTAATAGTCACCCCAGCAGCGCTTCTCTGCTGATCTGACTGACCCGGAAAACTCCCCTGCCCGCCCTTGCTTCAGGGGTTGCTGACATTTCAACTGTACAGTCAAGCAATGATCAGCCCGACGCAATGCAGGGAGAGGTGAGGCCGGAATCTAAAATACTTGGTCCCAGCCGCCTCCCACACACTCAAGAAGTAAGGCAGTCTCCAGGCTCTGCAGGTTTGGTTCTCACTGTAGTACCCGGAACCCGGATTCTCTAGGGTGGACAGTGGGGAGACAGCCTGCAGCCTCGGGATATACCATCCTATAGAAACAGAAACTGCAGGGGAGACACCGAAGTGTTGCTGGAGGAGCCACCTGGAGAGCCTGCCTCTTGGAGTGCTGGGTTCAGTTCTTGCCTCTCTACAACTTCCTAGCTGCGTCTCCTCAAGTTACAACACCGCTGTTCTGTGCCTCCGTTTTCCTCACCTGTAGATTGGGGGTATCAGTAGCTTCCGCCTCGTGGTTATTGAAGAATGCCTGTAAAGTGGGCACAGCAGAATACGGCCCACAGTAATTGCTGCTCACCTGTCATACATCGCTCTCACTTCCCCACCCCGCAGGACAATGAGGTGAGACTTCACTTCCTGCTCACTGCGGTGGCAGAACACCTACATCAGGCCGCAGGAGGGCCCGCCCTGGGTCGTGGCGCGGCCGGCTCTGCCCGGGTCGTGGCGCTTGCAGAGGTTAGGCGACATCCTGGGAGCCACTGGCGCGCAGGTGGTTGATCCGGCCGGCAGCGAGGTGTCCGGGACCTCTTCTCCAAACAGGGCAGGACGCCGGCCAACAGCGGAAAGAGCTAAGCAGAAAATCAAGGCAGAGAAAGGGCGGACCTCAACCCAAGATCGCGGGGGAAGGCGCCCAGGGCCCAGCGCAGGGCGCGCGGAGGCGGCCGCTGTGCAGCACTGCGCCCTCCGCCCCTCCCCGGCGGACCGGCCCCGGCGTCTGGGCTCTGCACGCACCGCGGCCGCGGCCGCTCGGAGTCCCCAACACAGCCGCCGAGGACACGATGCAGTGCCTGGGTGCCGAGTACCTGGTGAGTGCCTACAACTTGGCTCTCGGATTAGAACCCGGAGGGAGGAGTCGAGGCTGATTCCTGCAGGCACCTGCTACCTGCCCAGCCGGGACACTGCTGCCCCCAGCCCTCGGGGATAAGCCTCTGGTCAGGCACCTCCATACCCCCGAGGGCACCTGGCCGGGAGGACTCTGGGCCCCCACTCGGGTGCTGGGGCAGAGATGAGGGAGACGCTGGCCGCGGGGCGGGACAGGGGGGCTGCGGTCAGGTGCACCTCCAGGTAAGAACTTGGCGGCTAGAGATTTAACATCCGCTCTGTGAGGTTGGGTGTCTACCTGGTTGTTTATTCTTTTTCTCACCTCTCCTTTTTTTTCTGGAAGGTTTCTGAAGAGAGAGCTCCCAGGCCAAGAGAGTGGCGACCCCAGATTTATAGGAAATGCACAGATACAGCATGGCTATTCCTGTTCTTTTTCTTCTGGACCGGTTTGGTAAGCGTAGCTGCTTGGCAGGGAAGAGGCCAGTGTGTGTGTTCCGAAATAAATGCGCCTCAAACGTTAATTGCTTAAAGTTTATGCTGCAATGAAAAACTTCTGTCATTAGTCCAGAATGAACCTTAGTCCGGGGGAATTCTTGTCTGGCACTTGCTGCGGAATCTGTCTTGCTGCAGGCTCCACTGGTTAACTTCATTAGGAAACTGAGAATCAAGAGTTTGCTGTGGGATCATTGTATAGTAAGGCCAGTGAGAATTATCTGAGCTCTCTGAGTGGAAGTTCTCTTACCGTCTGTCAAACCCCTAAATCAAATATTTCTCAAGCTTTTGCTAGCCTCTAACAAAGGCAAATCCAGAGAGAGCCTAGAAATACATTACTTTTGTTTTCTCTGAAATGCATACACACTCTTGGTATATTGTGTTTAGTATCTCGGAATGAGCCCTTTAGGTAAGTAGGTAATAACTGTTCCCACTCTAGTTTCCAGGTAGTTGCTGGGAGACCTCATCTGGCTGTGCCATGTTAGTCCTGGGAGAGTCTCTTGGAAGCTGAACCTTGACACATTTATACTTATTTTAGAGTTGTAAGTGCAGCAGAAAAAGTCTCACTCAACTTTTTTCAAAGGCCATGTTCTTGAAATTTTCCATGCCAGGTTGAGGCATGCTATTTGCTGCATGGTAAATGATTAATTTATAAAACCTGATAATAACTACCAGGTAGTAAGTAACTATCTTTGTTGAAAGAGTTCAATTAGAATAGACCCTAAAATATCATGTTCATTGTTCTAAGTAAGAAAAGCATTCATGTGTTCACTTGTTGACTTTGCAGACTGGTTTCACATAGCCAGACTGGATTACAGGCACAGTGGCAGGTTGGCCTGAAATTTTATGTTGTTGCTGATGCTGTTTATACCATGGCCTCGAGGAGCTGAGAAAGGCAGTGCACCTTCAACACCTTCTGCCTCCCTTTCCCACAGATGGCAGGTGCTTTTATCTGGGTCTGTTGTTGTATCAGTGCAGGGAGCAGCTGTCCTGCCTTGTGCCTGGCAGCTTTGACCTTGGACTGCTATTGTCATTTAGCGATCTTCCCTAACCCCTCTATGGTTCAAAGCTAATACATCACTTCCAAATCTCAGCCCAGCAACTGTCTGTGGGAAGGATTTATAGATGGTCCACTACAGCCTGAAGAATTATGAACCAGCTGAAACATGACATGAAGCTGGAAAGTGCTTTAAAATTACACTGTATTTGCAGAATAGATCTGAAGATTTCCATATATCCAAGTTCTCTTCACTGAGTTCAGATTTAATAAGGAGAGTCCTTTCTTAGTTGACTTTTTGTAGCTTCTGCAACATTTTTAGCCACAAAACATATTTAAAATACAGGAAAAGCCCCCCCCCCCACCGTCTTTGCGGATCTGCTTCTTGTCTTGTGACAGATGTTCTAACGGGTGATATACTGGACAGGATTATTGTTGATAGTGCTGCCCTGAGTTTGGGCTAGACAATGAAGGCTTGGGGGAAGATGTCTGAATTACAACTATGGTCTTTTGCAGATAGGAAAAGCACCAGCTAGTGCTTATGTTTGCATAAAATACACAGAACAGAACATCTCCAACTCTGGGTCAACTCTGCTTCTACTTACCTCCCCACGATACCCTCCCACCTTGTCCTTTTCTATTCATATTTCAAGTCTCCATTTCCCTAATATCTCCCATGCACATTGACAGTAATCTCTTTGGTGACCACAACCTCCTATATCACCTCTCAAGTGCAATTGCACATGTATGTTTGCAATTAGAACAATGATGGTTTAGGGTACTAGTTGTGTTATGGCAGGGACTCAGGAAAACTCAAATCCTATTCCTACTTCCTCCTAAAAACTTTCCATTTCTCCCCACAAGCTTTCCAATGAAGAGATCACATACACTCTCATGGCAAATGAAAAATGTCACTTCATAATTAGGTCTCTAGTGAGCTGTGTAGAAGTATAAAACCCTTTTCTTCCCCCTGAGCCCAAATGTAATCAGGACCTTATTTACTGTGCTGCAAGTCAGAAGGACAGGAGGTGGGCATGTCATTGCTGGGTAAGCTTACCATGCCAGCTTTGTGGGCACAGAGTCATCTCTACATCCGCAGACTTTAAATGAGTGAGACCCTGTCTACTAGTAAGGGTGACCTACTCATTCTCAATGAATGACCTACTCATTCTCAAATCTGGTCTCAGATCACAGAGAACCCTGGAAAGTGTAGGAGCAGGAAGCTCAAGGTCTGAGCTGAAAAGTCCTACTCTTTTCTAGGCTGAGTTTCTTTTAATTTTATTTTGTTTTATTTTTTATTAGTTCTAATTAGTTTTACATGACATAGAATGCATTTTGACACACCATACATAAATGGAGTATAATTTCTCATTCTTCTGGTTGTACATGATGTAGAGTTACACCTGTTGTGTAATAATATATGCACATAGGGTAATCATGTCCAATACATTCTACTGTCATTCCTACTTCCACACCCCCTCACCTCTTTTTATTCCTCTCTGTCTAATCCAAAGTACCTCTATCTTCCCTAGCCACCCCACTTTATTGTGAATTAGCATCCACATATTAGAGAAAACATTTGGCCTTTGGTTCTTTGGGATTGGCTTATTTTGCTTAGCATGATATTCTCCAGTTCCATTCATTTACTGGCAAGTGCCATAATTTCATTCTTCTTTAAGGCTCAGTAATATTCCATTGTGTATATGTACCACATTTTCTTTATCCATTCAAATATCTGTTGAAGGGCTCCTAGGCTAGTTCCATAGCTTAGCTATTGTGAATTGAGCTGCCATAAACATTGATATACTATAAATTGTATTATACTGATATTAAGTCCTTTGGGTGTAAACCAAGGAGTGGGATAGCTGGATCAAATGGTGGTTCGATTCCAAGTTTTTGAAGAATCCTCATGCTTTCCAGAGTGTTGCACCAATTTTCAGTACCACTGGCAATGTAAGAGTGTATGTTTTCCCCCCTATCCTCTAAGCTGAGTTTCTTGAGGACAGGGACTAGGTTTTGTTCATCCTTGGATACTCCAACAGAGTCTCTGGCACACACTTGACACTTAAAGAATGTTTGTTACTTTTACTTCCAAATTAGTATTGAAAGCAGAATATCTGAAATGTATTTGACTTTGGATGCCCCTTTGGAACATATATCCATATAGTATGTTACTGAGTGGTATACTATATACTCGGTCCCGCAATGAGCTTGTTTGCATCAAATACTAAACAGTATTCTAAGTAGGTATTGTATTTTGGGAAACTAGCAACACTAAATTTGTGTTATGGGAAGAAACATATTCAATATTGGCAGAAGGCCTGGTAATGCATACCAATGAATAGTTGTTTGAACTGAAATTTCAAATATACCGCATTCACTATAAAATTAGATAAAAATGACCATCAAGCCTGGCATGGAGGCCTCAAGCCTATAGTCCCAGCTAAGGAAGGAGGACTTCAAGTTGGAAGTCACCCTTAGCAACTTAGTGAAACTCTCAGCAACTTTGCAAGACTCTGTCTTAAAATAAAATTTAAAAATTAAAGGACTGTGGATGTAGCCCAGTGGTCAAGTTCCCCTGGTTTCAATTCCCAGTACAAAAAAAAAAAAAAAAAGGCTATTGATTTCAAGATATTTGTGTCCAACAGAATTCCTGAAATTCTCTTTTCTTAAGTTCTCTATTTTGTAAATTTAAGCAGTTACTCCAAAACACTATTTTAAGGCTTCTTGTAAATAATATTTTAATCCACTTCAACTGTGATCTTTACAGAGATCACTAAAAGACGCCCCCAAAATTTTTTTTAAGAAGAAAGGAAGAAAACTTGGGGGAGATAATGAGCCTGGCCTTGATGCACTTAGATAAACCAAAAACCTCAAGGAAAAAAAATTAGTTGTCCCAGTGAAATGTGTCAAAAAACAAAAATTGACAGATTCCTGAAGAAAGTCAGAAGGTGAAGAGGTAAGAAAATGGAGAGGAGGGGCTGGGGATGTGACTCAAGCAGTAGCGCGCTCGCCTGGCATGTGCAGGGCGCTGGGTTCGATCCTCAGCACCACATAAAATAAAAATAAAGATGTTGTGTCCACTGAAAACTAAAAAATAAATATTAAAAAATTCTTAAAAAAGAAAATGGAGAGGAATCTACGTGTTTCAGGTTGCTACCCCTACACACACACCTAACCTGCCAAAACCCAGATTCTAACAGCAGGATACTAAGCAGATTCAGTTGTTGCTTCTAAAGGAGGGAACTGCTGGGGACCTGGAGAGATTTGTGTTTCGCCTGGTTCCATCTTATATCGACATCTTCAGGGACACAGGGGATGGTGTCTTGTGTCCTGTGAGCAGGTCCTCATGTACCCCTGGGCTTTTCTAGATGTTCATCATGGGCTACTCGGCAGTGGCTGGAGCCACAGCAAGACTCCTGTTCGGCTATGACAGCTTTGGCAACGTGTGCGGCAAGAGGAACTCCCCAGTGGAAGGGGCCCCTCTTTCAGGGCAAGACATGACCCTAAAAAAGTAAGTGTCAGAGTTAAGTCCCCAACCTATAGAGGGACTGTGTTTCAAAGCTGTACGAATTTGTGGTTTAGAGTCTGGAAACTGTTTTCCTATTCAAAACTGTCAGCCTCTCTCATTAGCAGGAGGGTCATGTGTGTGTGTGTGTGTGTGTGTGTGTGTACTGGTGAGGGTGCAGCTGTGTCGTCCTAGGTGCAGCTTCAACCTCTGCTGCTTTTCAGCTCTGTGGCCTTGGGCAGAATCCTTAGCCTGTCTGAGCCCAGTTTGCCTAATGATAACTGCGATAGCTAGGGCACAATAAATGTTGTTACTGTTATTATCCATAATGTAATAGAATCACTAAAAGGAAGGGGATTCCACTTAAGAGGTAGATAAAGTAGTTATCCTCAGAAACAGGAAAAGCATGGTTTCCAGAGGAGGAGCAGGGAGAATGGGGAGTTACTGTCCACTGGGAACAGAGTTTCCATTTTGCCAGAGGGAAAGAGGTCTGTGATGGACGGTGGGGATGGCAACACGTGGTGGCCACACAGTGAATGTACTTAATGCCACCCACCTGACTTAAAATGACCAAGACGGTAAATTCTATGTCTATTTTAACACAATTTCAAAATTTTTAAAAACAAAATATCTATTTTCCAAACACCCAGGAGATGGGTTCCCCTTCTCTTTGTGCACTGCCTCCCTTCCTGCCATCCTCAGCTGGAGGGAAAGTGGCTTCTGAGACCCCTCCTCAAGGCCTCTCCCATAGCAGACAGCCTACAGGGCTCTTCCTTTGACATTCCTGATTTCAGCAGCCTGGTTATGTATTAGACAGTGGCCCAAGAGCTGCCACTGCCTGCAAATGAACCATGAATGGTAATACCAGTTTTTTTCTTCTTGTTGTTTTGTTTTGTTTGGGGCTAGGGATTGAACCCAGGGGCACTTGACCATTAAGCCACACCCCAGCTTTTTTTTTTCCCTTAGTTTAGAGACAGGGACTTTTTAAGTTGCTTAGGGCCCCCCTAAATTACTGAGGCTGACTTTGAACTTGTGATCTTCCTGCCTCAGCCTCCTGAGCCACTGAGATTACAGGCATGCACCAGATTGCTGGGCCTGATTTTGTTCTTTGCCCTATCTTACCCAGCCGCTGGGTAGCTGTAGGCAGGGTCTTCTAAATGTCCTGGCTCTTAAACTGCATTTAGTTCCCAACATTGGCCACTTTCTCCTTTCCATTTGTCACTTCCCAGTATTCTGTGTTCAGCTGTTCTCTGGAGTTTATTTGAACACTCTTGGGCAGGATATAGTTGGCAGGGATGCCAGTGTGTACTTTATGCATCCATATCTGGCAATCTATGGGCAGTTTAACTAATGCCTTCTCTCTCTCAGGTACCTCTCAGAATTATGCCCTGAAAATGCTGAATCTAGAGAAGGAAAGTTTTGTTAACATTTGAGTATGGTTCACAAGCTGTGCTACTCTGTAGATGACCCCGGGTTGGCATAATATATATTCAGTGAAGCTGAAACATTTGATTAAAAGTTTGCCTTATTAATTCTCATAGTTGGCAGTATGTAGATACTTTTTTTAATTTTTATTGTTGGTTGTTCAAAACATTACATAGTTCTTGATATATCATATTTCCCACATTTGATTCAAGTGGGTTATGAACTCCCATTTTTACCCTGTATACAGATTGCAGAATCACATCGATTACACATCCACTGTTTTACATATTGCCATACTAGTGTCTCTTGTATTCTGCTGCCTTTCCTATCCTCTACTATCCCCCCTCCCCTCCCCTCCCCTCCCCTCTTCTCTCTCTACCCCATCTACTGTCATTCATTTCTCCCCCTTGTTTTTTCCCTTTCCCCTCATTTCCTCTTGTATGTAATTTTGTATAACAATGAGGGTCTCCTTCCATTTCCATGCAATTACCCTTCTCTCTCCCTTTCCCTCCTACCTCTCGTCCCTGTTTAATGTTAATCTTCTTCTCCTGCTCTTCCTCCCTACTCTGTTCTTAGTTGCTCTCCTTATATCAAAGAAGACACTGGCATTTGTTTTTTAGGGATTGGCTAGCTTCACTTAGCATAATCTGCTCTAATGCCATCCATTTCCCTGCAAATTCCATGATTTTGTCATTTTTAATGCAGAGTAATACTCCATTGTGTATAAATGCCACATTTTTTTTTTATCCATTCATCAACAATAAGAAAACAAATAACCCAATCAACAAATGGGCCAAGGACCTGAACAGACACTTCTCAGAGGAGGACATACAATCAATCAACAAGTACATGAAAAAATGCTCACCATCTCTAGCAGTCAGAGAAATGCAAATCAAAACCACCCTAAGATACCATCTCACTCCAGTAAGATTGGCAGCCATTATGAAGTCAAACAACAACAAGTGCTGGCGAGGATATGGGGAAAAGGGTACTCTTGTACATTGCTGGTGGGACTGCAAACTGGTGCGGCCAATTTGGAAAGCAGTATGGAGATTTCTTGGAAAGCTGGGAATGGAACCACCATTTGACCCAGCTATTCCCCTTCTCGGTCTATTCCCTAAAGACCTAAAAAGAGCATACTACAGGGACACTGCTACATCGATCTTCATAGCAGCACAATTCACAATAGCTAGACTGTGTAACCAACCTAGATGCCCTTCAATAGATGAATGGATAAAAAAAATGTGGCATTTATACACAATGGAGTATTACTCTGCATTAAAAAATGACGAAATCATGTAGATACTTTTTAAAGTCTACAGTTAAATCCAATGAGAGGCCATGCTCTAAGACATGCTTTCTGCTTCATTTGTCTCCTTAGACATGTGTTCTTTATGAATTCCTGCAAACCGGATATCAAAGATAGGAAGCTTGGTTCCACTGCCCTCTGTGTGTCCAGCTGTCCTGAAGAGCAGCTCAACACCTTGGAAGAGGTTCAACTCTTTGCAAACACCAGTGGTAGGCACCAAGGGGCCAGTTTGCTCTCCCTGCCACACCTTCCCACAGTGGAGTAACCTGTGGGGATCTAGAGGGGGTAATTTAGCCTGACCCTGCTTTCTTTGGAAAGCTACTCCTTTGGAGGTGCCTCATCTTGTGTGGAAAAGGACTTAAACATTTTCTCATGAGCTTACTCAATTTCATTCCGGCCTCTCTGGATTTATGAAACCTAGGCTGTTTGGCGCCTGCTCCCTGCAGCAAAATGGTCTTCCACAGAGAGTAAGAAAGAGACATCAGACTCTTTTTTTAATTATACCTTTTTTTTTTAAGTTTTATTTTTCGTGGTACTAGGGGTTGAACCCACAAGCACTCTCTCACAAAACTACATCCCCAGACTTTTTATTATGAGACGTGGTCTAAGTTGTTGAGGCTGACCTTGAGCTTGCAATCCTCCTGCCTCAGCCTCTGGAGTTACTGGGAGTATAAGCATGTACCACTACCACCTGAGAGACAGCAGATTCTTAAGGCCTGAGGCTTCAGGTCGAATTGCCTACAAGTTGGTCCTTTGATGAAATTGTCAGGGCTGGTAAATACTTTTGTTGACCTGTTGAATAATCATAAACTGTACCAAAAGCATTCATGTAGCTGAAATACTTGCTCTGGACACACTGGTTCAGATTTTTGTTTTAAGAATTAAACAAACAAAGGAAAGAAAAGGAATGTGAGGCAGCCCACTGCAAATTTTATCTGCCTAAGAAATACAATGCCAGGTTTTTAAAAATTATTTCCAAAGCCAAGTTAAAAATATCAAGCTCCTGCAATAAATTATCTTCAAATAACTTTCATGTCATTTTAGTACCAATCATTTAATGTTTAGTTTTGAATTTGTGGTTTTGGAGAGAGAGAAAAGAGGCCCTAACTCAATCTAAAATTGTGTGTTTATTCATTTTGTTTTTAAGTCACCTGGTTCCTAAATCCAGGTAATGTATTCTATCTCCTTCTGGCTTGGCAAAATGCTGTGATTTCTTTAGTGGTTTCCCCAGGAAAATGGGTCCAATATAGGAAAATAGTACTGTCTGTGTCTTGTGCTTTCAGGGTCTTTCCTGTGCATCTATAACTTGAATTCCTTCAACTACACCCGGAATCCAAATGCAAACTCACTGTGCCCTAGGCTACCAGTTCCTCCAAGGTAAAATCTTCTGTACTTCTTTATGTATCAACAATAGCTATCAGGTACTTGTCTTCTACTCTTCTAGGCATGTTTTGTAGAAAACATGAAGGACATATTGAGTAAGCTCCTGCAGGGAGCTTAAGGTCCACAGAAGGCCAAGGACAAACAAGGAGGGATCATTTGCAACACACACAATGGACAATGTACTAGTAACCAGGATAAATAAGGAGAAAATTTAGCAAACAATAAAGATATATATAGTCTTCCAACAACACCCTACAGCTAGCCATATATATAATATACATAATATGTAATTTATTACCAAATGAGCGATTTTTATGAAGTAGTTGGTATGTGTTTTTTCTTTAATTGCAAAGTAAAAACATTATGCTTTTTCATACAGCTACACATTGTTCATTTTGTTTTTTGTTTTGTTTTTGGGGGGCTGTTTTTTGGTACTGGGGATTGAACCCAGAGGTGCTTAACCACTCAGCCCTTTTTATATTTTATTTTGAGACAGGGTCTTGCTAAGTTGCTTAGGGCCTCGCTATATTACTGAGGCTGGCTTTGAACTCACAATCCTGCCTCAGTCTCCCTAGCCTGTGCCACCACACACAACTATTGTCAGTTTTTATAACTAGATTCCTCCACAAGAAACAGCCTGGGAGAGCAAGGCAGAGTGGGTTCCATATCTTTCTTCTCAAGGATCTACTGGGTGAACTCCTTGCAGGTGTTATTCCTCCCTATCAACTATGGTACAATGTAGGCAATTTACAAATATTTGTAGAATCAAGTTGTAATGATGAAGTAGTGATTGCCAGGGCAAACCGGTTCACATTGGCACCTTCACAAAGTCTAAAGGGAGAAATACAATTCATTATCACAGTCAGGCTACTGAGATTTGTTAATGGAGAACTTGGAATGGGTGTTGCTATCCTTTTGAAAAACATAAGTATATTTACAATGAGTAAGAACTGAGAAAAAAATCCCTGAGAAATAATAATAATTTAAGTGAAAGACTTGTGACAACTTTCTAGTAGTACAGTCTTTGTTAAACTCTTGGTTGGGACCCACATAAGTAAAATAATATATCACAAACCCAGTGTATCTATACCATCAAATTTACTTAGGTATAGAAAACAGAAATAGAGATCTTGCAAAATAAGACTTCCCCTGCATAGGATTCATAATAATAGTTCCTATTCTGCTGCACTTTAAAAAATAATTTATTTCATGTTCTTCTAAGTGGTTGTAAGTACAGCTTGAAAAATACTAATCTTGCAGGTATTCAAAAAAGACTCAAATAAGTTTTAATTACATATGAAGCAGAATATAGTTAGTCATTTTGGTGACATTCTTTTCTTTTTATTTGTTCTTTTTAGGTATGCATGACAGTAGAGTATATTTTGACATTCTATACATATATGGAGTATAATTTCCCATTTCTGTGGTTGTACTTAATCTGGAGTTACACTGGTTGAGTATTCATATATTGGCATAGGAAAGTTATATCTGATTCATTCTACTGACTTTCCTATTCTCATTCCCCATCCCTGCCCTTCATTCTCCTTTGTCTAATCCAATGAACTTCTATTCTTCTCCCCACTCCCCTATTTTGTATTAGCATCCACATATCATAGAGAACATTCAGCCTTTGGTTTGTTGGGAGTGGCTTATTTCACTTACCATGATATTCTCCAGTTCCATCCATCTACCATAATTCCATACCAAATGCCATAATTTCATTCTTATTTATGGCTGAGTAATATTCCATTGTGTAAATGTACCACGTTCTCTTTATCCATTCATCTGTTGAAGGGCACCTAGGTTGGTTCCATAGCTTAGCCATTGTGAATTGTGCTGCTATAAACATTGATGTGGCTGTGTCACTGTAGTATGCTTATTGTAAGTCCTTTGGGTATAAACCAAGATGTGGGATAACTGGGTTAAATGGTAGTTCCATTCTAAATTTTCTAGGGACTCTCCATATTGCTTTCCATAGTGGTTGCACCAGTTTGCAGTCCCACCAGCAGTGTATGTGTGAACCATTTTTCCTACATTCTTGCCAACATTTATTGTTACTTTTATTCTTGATAATTGCCATTCTGACTGGAGTGAGATGGGATCTCATCATTCTAAATGGAGAAAAATTAAAAGCATTTCCTCTAAAAACCAGAACTAGACCAGGATGCCCTCTTTCACCACTGCTGTTCAACAGAGTCCTTGAAACCCTAGCCAGAGCAATTAGACAAAAGAAAGAAATTAAAGAGATACGAATAGGAAAAGAAGAGCCCAAATTATCCCTATTTGCCAATGACATAATTCTATATTTAGAAGACCCCAAAAACTCCATCAGAAAACTTCTAGAACTCATAAACAAATTCAGCAAAGTAGCAGGATATAAAATTAACACCTGTAAATCAATGATATTCACACACCAATGATGGATCAGCTGAAAGAGAAATCAGGAAAGCTATTGCATTCACAGTAGCCTCAAAAAAAAAAAGAAAAGAAAAAAGAAAGAAAGAAAGTACTTAGGAATCAATATCACAAAAGAGGTGAAAGACCTCTACAATGAAAACTACAGAACACTAAAGAAAGAAATCGAAGAAGACCTTAGAAGATAGAAAGCTCTCCCATGTTCTTGATTAGGCAGAATTAATATTGTCAAAATGACCATACTACCAAAACATAATACAGATCAAATACCATTTCTATTAAAATTCCAATGACATTCTTTAGAAAAAGTAGTCATAAAATTCATTTGGAAAAATAAGAGGCACAGAATAACCAAAGCAATCCTTAGCAAGAAAAGTGGTGCAGGAGGCATCAAAATACCAGACCTTAAATTATACTACAGAGCTATAGTAACAAAAAAGGCATGGTATTGGCACCAAAACAGACATGAAGAAGACACAGAGACAAACCCACATAAATATGGTTATCTCATACTAGACAAAGGGGCCATAAGTATTCATTTGCGAAAAGATAGCCTCTTCAACAAATGGTGCTGGGAAAACCGGAAAGCCATGTGTAATAGAATAGAATTGGTGGCATTCTTTTCTAAAATGAGCACTTGTGTTGTAGGTAACTGAAGGAAGCCAAAATTATTTGCAGAAGAGAGTACTCCGTCCACGTTTCAATGTTATCTTATTTTTTAAATTCTGGTTGTTGTCAGATATCATCAAACATGTCTCAACGAAACCTTACCCAGGAAAAAAACCTAGTATGTTTAAATGGGTTGAAGAAAAATTATTCAGTGCTTAAAGAAAAAGATTTTTTTTAGGAATCCCATTTGTACCTGTACCTACAGATGGAATTGACGAGAATGGAATTGTTAAGGTTGCCACTTAAGCAGAGTTGGGTGAACTCTCCTCTTACAGTATATGGGATGACAACCCAAATTCCACAGCAAGCCTCTATCTTGATACTGATGGCAATCACAGAGAACATTTAACTGAACTTTCGATACTTACCAGGTACTTTCTAAGTTCAAGTTTGTGATGTGTATTAACTTTTGGGGCCTCACAAAGCTTGTGTGCCACGGGTATTTTTTTCATCCCTGCCCTAAACCTGCGAAGACTGATCAGAGAGAGGGGAAGTCAGCCACCCAGCCAGTGGGATGACTGGCATTCACACCCCAGCAGTGTCCGTGTTTGTTTCTAATCCAGTCTAAATGTTCAAGGCCAGGCTGAACCACCTGGCCAGTGGCCTCCTTAGGCTCCCACCAAGCTAGGAGGGAAACCATCCCTACCTTGTGTCCTTGGGTCGCCATCTTTCTGCCTCTCCCGCCAGTCCTAGCCCTTTCCACTCTCAGATTCAGACCTTTCCAATACTAACTTTTCAAGTGAAGACAAAACGGTTGATTGACTGGCCTTTTCTTGGACAGAGTGAGGAAAACAGAAATAGGCTCCAGGGCTCCGTTTCCTTTTCCTACACAAGTCAGTGTTTGTTTAGGATGGAAATTATCATATTTATCGTGGAAGAATGGTGCCAAGATTCAAAAGCTAGAAAACATGAGAAGTGTGGCTATAGGGCCAAAGAACATTTTCCAAATACCTCTTTTTGACTACACCAATTGTTTCGTCTTCCTCTGTTGATCCTATGAGGTATTAGCATCCCCTTTTTATGCAAAAGCTGAAAAAGGTATGAGCTTTCAAGAGCAGCAAAAAAGTACTGCAGAAGATAACAAGCAAGCATATCTTTTTCCTTTTGGTGTTCAATATAATACTGTATTTTGAGTCTCCTGTGTATTTAAAAATCTAAAAGGTTTGAGACTCCCCCTCCAGCCCCAGTAAATTCTAGTTCTAGCCTCTCGCATAGAGGTTCCAGCTGGGCGCTGCTATGTTTGCTCTGAGAATTCCACAGACAGGGTCACCTAAATATGCAGGCAGCTCTCCAGAGAACTTCCTGAAAGTCTGACTGGCTTTGCTAGTGGTAGGAAGAAAAGGAACATGGAGAAGAAACCTCAGACTGTGTCCTAAAGACAACCCCCTGCCTCAGTTAATGATATACTCTGGGGGCAACTAGTCAACTACCCAACCTGGGTGGCCCATACATCACATGCTTCTCTGTGTTGCCCTCAGGGTAGAGATGGGTCATTCTTTCCCAGTATATGGTCATTACGTGCCTAAAAATCACTATAGTTGACAAAATGAAGGTCTTATGAAGAATTGTGTTTGAGGAAAAAACAAAGTAGCATTAAAGCTGTATCTGAACTTAATGTTCAGAAACACTGAATGAAAGCTCAGAAAACATGTGCTTTCATAACATTTCCGGGAGAGTGGGGCTCAGAAGTGCTCAGAAGCTCAGCAGTAAGATGCTTGTCTAGTATGCATGAGGCCCTGGGTTCCATCCCAGCACCACCATCACCACCAAAACAAAAAAGAAAAGAAAAAGAAAAAAATCAGATTTATTGGTGTTAAGAATCTGTTTAGTGGTAGAAAAAGAAATTAGAGGTTTAAAAATTGAAAAGCAGAACGTAAAATTACTACTCTGCAAATGGTATGATTATAGAC